ATGCACTCAAATTCACATTCTCTTTTTAAAATACAAAATAATGTAAATGCAAAGTACAGTCATTTAGGGTATTTCGGGTCACCCCGATTTTCGGGAGTCATCGGGGTTTTCTTGACACAGTTCGCGCAAAACGTAAAAGAAAAAAAAGAAGCTATTGCAGTCATGTCCAGCAAGGTATGTTATATGCATTCACACAGTTACAAAGGAAAATATTGAAAATAGATGTCTTAATTAATACGTTGATTAATTGGCGTATGTTTCCCGATCAGAGAATTTTGCATGTCAAAAAGGGAGACATCTTTTTTTCTTCGATGATGTGAAGTTTACGTCTGATAAAACAATACATGTTATATACTGCTGGAAAGGAAAATTTATACGCTTTCCAATGCAACTAAACAAATTCTGGTTGCAATAAAATCTATTGAGGTAGTGGTGTATTCCTACCCCCCTTCGGTTTAGTGTATTTCGGGTCACGTGTGTTTCTACAGCTTCGTGTTTTGGTACGTCACATTTCAATGTTTACATTGTGCTTTTTCAATATTATCATGATTATAGCTTTTTTTTATGTAGAAAATGTGGCCCCATGTGCTGGAAAAAGGAGGAGGTGTTGTTATACCCTGCCAATACAACATGTACAAAGTGTGTCCCAAAAACTTCCATGCAGCATTGATTGTTATAGAGCAGCATATTGAAAATATGCCTGAAAAGTCGGTCATTGATGTCTCCATATCATAAAGTGTACATGCATCACATATGATTCTTTGTATCAAAGTTCATTTCATAGAATGTGAAGTTGTTTTATATGTCTAAAGTAGGACTTTTGTTTTTTTTTTAATATAACAGTTTACATACTAAGTTTGACATACTTTATATCATTTTAAGATGCACATTTTACTATAGAATTTGCAATAAGAGAGAGAGAGAGAGAGAGAGAGAGAGAGAGAGAGAGAGAGAGAGAGAGAGAGAGAGAGAGAGAGAGCAGGAATTTGCCAGACTGCTATGAGAGAGAGAGAGAGAAAAGGATGCACATAAATTTGCATCCAGAGATTTTGCAGAGAGGGAGAGAGAGAGAGAGAGAGAGAGATGCACATTTCCACTAGAAAGTGAGGGGGTGTTTTATATTGTAGTATCAAGGTACTATATTATTATTATGTTTATTTTGTAGATCTATAGATTTTTTATATGTTTATATTTTATATGATTCCAAGTAGGACGAATTTACTTTTTTTTGTAACTGTATAATTTTTTTATAGCCTTTTACCATGTTTACATTCCTAGTCATTTTCCCGTTATTTAAAACCAGGTGTTTCCATTGTTACTTTTTTTTCTTTGTTAAAAAGTCATTTTATTCAAATAAATAATGACATAAAATATTTGTCTCTGTATGTTACGAGAGAATTTAACAATCTAAAGGTCATAATTTCATGGTCTTCAAGCTAGATCCGCCCCACATTACACACGGTCAATATAGTGTGTTGATATCAACTTTCACCGTGAGCGATTTTCCCCACAAAAAAAATCATTTCTGCTTAAATAACAATTGGATATTAGCAAAACTAACTAATTTTGGTCATAAAACAACATTAAATATAATTTTTGTTCTGTTTTGCACACGTTTATAAAGTGACTCGAAATAACCGGAAGTGACCCGCAATTCCTTAAATTGGAGGTCTAGAAAAAGCTCCCACTGCGGTCGTTTTAACAAAGATAATCGCAATGTGGTTCGTAAGTCTTTTCAATCAAACAATAAACTTCTTAATAATGCCCAGGAACCATTAATAATCTTGTTTGTTTAATTAATTGCAGTAGAAATGTAAAAAGTGACCCGAAATACCCTAAATGACTGTAATTCTTTTAAAATGTTTTTATTTTATTACATACAATGTATGTACTGCAAATCTGGAAATTTTTACGTCGATTTTATTTTGCGAATTCGGGTCAAAATGCTGTTGATTAATTTTTACGTTTCAAAATTTTGCAAATGACCACTGCTTTGTTTACATTTTTTATTGGTAATTTATTTTTATGAAAAATATTTTTGAAAATGCAATGAACTTGAAAATTTGCTAAAAATTTAGCTGCAGCAAAAATTTCCAGATTTACGGTATACTAATTAGAATGATGTGAATATTCAAGTTTTTGAAAAAGTAGGACTGGAAATAACAAGCTAATTTGATCATGTTTCAGGCCTTTATGGGTGTGGCCTTCTCAGTTGGTTTTGTGTTTGGACCAATCATTGGAGCCGTTTTCTCCAGATTTGCCCGAGAACAACAGGAAGTCTTCTACACAGCCCCTGCCCTTTTTGCACTTGCTTTAGCCATCATAGATGTCATTTTTGTTCTTATGTTTTTCAAAGAATCACTACCACAACATAGAAGGGTAAGCTAATATCCTCAGTTATAACAAAGCTGGAACTTTAAGAAACACAATTGGTTATATCTGTTAGCTTCTTTATATACATGTACATGTTCTTATAACCCAGGTTGAATAAAAATCACATCACTAAAAGACATCAATTCATTACAAGGATGTTTGCCATTTAAGCATGTTTAACTCTATTTTTACAAAGAGAATTTGATATTCTATACTTAATTTATAATATTAGCATTTGTGTCATTTTATGAATGGATTTACTCTAAGAATAGGTTCAGGTCAGTAGTCTGGTATGCAGGTTTTAATACTTCATTTTAATCAATGCAATTAATGAAATACATGTATTTAAGGAAAGGATTGCACGGGTCCGTGAAAAATTCTGCCCAATTAATTTTTCTCATTTTTACATATAACGTTCCTAATGTCAATAATACCATTATATCAAAGTATCCAGCATGGTCATCAGGCTTATAAGGAAGTTATGGTTGCCATGGTAACCACCATTTTTTAATCTTTTGATATTTATGAGGTGAATGTTTTATAATGCCATACATGCAACAAAATTGAAGCAAATTAAATATTTTTTTGCAGATATTTAATAATATGCTTTACTTTTATTGAAAATAAAAATTGTTTCGGAAACTATTGATAAATGTAGTAATGCCATTGTTTTTTGGGGAAGTATTAATTGTAAATTTGCAGTAATATTTTCACCTCAAAAGCAGTTTTTAACGTCTAGACAAAAAATTACCCAATGAATTTTCCCAAAACTTATATATGCTGTACTAGTCATTATAAGTGACTTATGGTTAAAATACGAAGTGGTGTAATCAGATTAATTTTGAAGGTACATGCATTTCAGTACCCCCCCCCCCTTTCCTAGAATATTAAAAGATTTCACTGATTTTCATATGATGGTTTGTTGTTGGACATTAAATATGCATAATCTGTTTAAAGACAATAAAGGCCATATGTATAGATAAATAAATACTTTTTCTCTGAAAATCTGGCAGCTGATGCTCATTTTACATGTATATGTGAAGCACAATGATTTACTTATCACCGACAGTGGTCACGAAAATAACTTTTATTTTTTTTTCAAACTCAGTTTTTCATTTCCAAAACATTCATTTTGTTACTATAATCAATATAAATAAATAATATATTATAAACCAGTGCACAGTCCTCAAAGGCCTCATTCTTCATGCTTTGAACACTCAGCGATGTTTCTTCTTAGTGACCTGGAATCGGGGTGGGGGGTGGGGTTCAGACATTTAAACACATTGAATGAATAGAGGTTATTTTCTAAAACTTGTAACTGCATTATATATATATTTTTTAAATAAATGTATTCATCCATAAATAATCTTACTGGCCAAATTATAGTAATTCTGATTATTCTAAATATTCACATTTAGTCATTTACAAATAGTTTTCCTTCCGATTCTTTTCAAGTAAGTACACTTCATTTTCTCCTAGCTGTACATGGATGAGCGCTATCTCCATTGTGACGTCATAATGATACAATTGACGTCAAAACTATAGATCTACTGTTTTGATTCAAAAATAATCATTGATTGAAATAACTTTCCGTCGCTTTATGATATATGCTGGAGTGAAACATCTATGTTCATGTCCATGTGATTAAAAAAACAAACAGTTTTCAAATGTATTCCCATAAGCATGATGAGTTCACATGTTTCTTTTATTTATTTATGTTCACATCTTCCCTGGTATTCTTTCAGAAGTGTGTTGTGTTTCAATACGACGCATAAAACATTTTACAACAATCGTTTACAATATATATGTGCGACGATGATTGAATGTTTACGCGGTCGATGTTACTGCTGAAAATGCTAAAGATCTTATAGGAGAAAACAAAATCCTCTTTTTTAAAAAGATATGTCTTCTAGGCATAAGTGGTCTTCGCCGTAATACGTTTATCAAAATCGCCTTCGTTCATCAATATTTATACATATGTGTATCTAGTAAATCACGCCGTCTGAATCTCTTATTGGAAATTATCTATACATAGATGTGGATCCTATGATAAACAACAATCTTAAATAAAATTCTAATTTTAAAATGAAGATATAAACCTCAAGATATAAATCAAATTTATTTTTAATGAAATAGATTTCAATGTTCAGAGATAAACAATAGATAGACGTGTCAAATCGTAAAACATGCACGAAGATAAAAAATATGATCAACGCTCACCAACACTCTCAGTGCATCGTAACAATCTTTAATATCTTATACTTTCTCTACTTTAGAAAAATAAATCCCTTTTGTCAAGCGCAAACATATGACGCTCCTTATTCCGGAAATAGTTACAGCAAACATTCTTTTTTTACTCACCATATGACGTGATCACGTGACGCCGTGCAATCGCGTCCTTAAGGATGGATTCTTGTCAGCATTTTACATCGTCAATGGGTCTCCATAGATTTTGGAAGTCGTAAAATGCAAAATACATATTTAATCAATCTGAATAAAGAATTATTGTTTTATTTAATAGTTTATGTATTGTTGAGTCTATTTCTATTAAAGAAATTAAGTTGTTCGTGATTTTTTCTTTGATTTGCGACAATTGCCATAAAATGTGCAGTTCCGTAGCGAATCTCAACATGTCCAGGTCGTTTCCCGTAGATAACCCCGAGAGGATTGTTTTGTAAAATATACAAGCCGTAAACATTATTGAAGCATTGTAGAAGCCCAGGGATGATTTAAACAATTTTAAGTCACCCATTTCTTTATGCCCGGGACACCCGATCAACCAAAGGAAACTTGAACTGTCGAAGGTCACAAACATGCGAGATTGCAGACCCACGTTGCCTCGATCGCCTGATGTCATGTCGGGTCACTGTGCAGTGAGATTGTACATGTAAGTTAGTTATGTATATCTGACAATTTAGTTCATAATTTTGAAATTGAATTACGTGGTTTTTACTGATAAATGGGAATTCGCAAGGATATTATATATTGATGCATGATGTACTTCGTAAGTTCGTATGATGTTCCCGCGACTGTTCAACATTTGAGGATTAAAATTTATCATTTCCATGTGTTCGTCAGTTTTATGACAAATATTTATTCACAAAAATAGCATTTTTTTGTATATAATTACAACAAGTTACATTACTAACTAGCCTTATTTGTTAAAGACACAGCAATCATCAAGTTGTTAGAAAAGTAAGGTGTTCCGTTGGGGTACAAATCAAAGTGAAAAATGAGTATATATTGTGTGGAAAAATCAATAACATTGAGACAAACAGTTGTCTAATTTATGGAGCAAAATGAAACACAATGGTCCTGAAATTATTTATATTATTGTATTTTTTCTGTGTTTTTAGGTTTAAAAGTTTTTATAGTACAAATTTAGATAAGACATTATACACTGTTATACAACGTGGTGTATGAAATAAAATATATTTATTTAAAAAACTTCATTCATTTTTTTTATAAATCAATAAATGAAATACATATAAGATTGAATGTTTAATCTTACAACAAGTTTTTGTTCATTTAATAACAATTGTCTAAGAACTGTTCATATTTAATTCTTAGGAGCTCGAGCAAACAGCCCTACAGTACTTAATTTACCCAGGAGTAGACTACTTGTAGATGAAGGTAGACTGAAGGCCAGACTTAGGCAGGATGATTGAACAAAATCTGCTTGCAGATGGACTACTGAGGTACATAAATACAAGAAATATGAACACAACTGTATCTAAGTAAACTATAAATAGTGCATGTTTTTGAGGGCTACAATCTAAATTGACACCCCGAGGAAAACCATTGTCAACTGATACAAGGGATGTCAATTTTAAATATTACTGAGTTCAAGGGCAACTTGCGTCTTATCAGACCCAAGATCCAAAGTGTCTGCCTGAGAGAGATAGGCCAAAGCCAGACATTTTGGTTTGAGGATCGACAAAATTTATTTGCTTGAGAACACAGTCAGTAAATGTTTTGTGATACCTTTCATTTCAATATTTATTTAGCTCCACCAATTGTGTGATGTACAGTACATGTAAGCGGTCTAACATTTCATCGACCGGTCCAACATCTCACTCAGTGGTTTAATTAATATCAATTGTTTTATGCCCGCTCAGCAAAACATTAGAAATGTATAGATTTGTATAGGAACAAAATTTTAAAAGTATAACAATAAGGATTGTTAGATGCATCTAAACTAATCAGATTTTAGTATTTAACTTGAAAGTATAATACACTGTAACATGTAATGCAGCATTTTTACTGCTATGCATATATTTAATCCTTTTTTTATAATTGTAAGCAAAAAAATTGGACTCTCAGGAGGTGAACAGATGTTCAGCAAGAAATTCGCACATCAAGTGAGTGGTGAAATTAAAAGATTTTCTCATTTTTCAGCAAGTTAAGATTTTTCCTCAAATTCATTAAAATCATATCTGAGAAGCATTTAAACAAACAATATCAGATCAATATTCAAAAGAGAAAAGGTTCATAATTCACCAAATTAAAATGTTATCAAGTTATTGTTGTTTTTGATGATTTCAGATGCTGTGAATTAAACTGATATCCCCCCCCCCCAAAAAAAAAAAGAACAGAGAGACCAATCATTAACAGCTTGAGACTTGGTGCACATAACCTTGCCACAGAAAAGGGGATTTACCTATAAGCACTCCCTAATGAAAAATTTTGTAAATTATTTGTTACACAGGAGAGATTTAAGATGTATTTCATTTTTATTTAGCTACCAAAAATACAATAATTATAAGTTAATATTTGAAAGGAAGTTGATGTATTTTTTTCTTGAAAGGAAAAGTATCAAATTTGTCTCATATACCTTTGATAGTCGATGTACAGAAATATTGAAAATAACACTTATTTATTAAGAAATACCATATATTTAGAAATCATTGTAATACATATTCATTGTGTATTATTGTGTAAATTATATTATAGTGTGGTTTATGTACATTGTATAGCCGCAAAATCTAGATGCAGTGTATTGTATAAAATTGTATGAACAATTGGTGATTCTTATACTAGTATGTTACACCCTTGACAATTATTGTAATTGTGTTGGCACTGATAAATATTTATATACAGGTCATATAGTTCATGTATAAAACATATAAAGATTCTATGATATAACATAAAGATTTTGCCTTTAACTCAGCAAAAATATACATGCATTTCGTTCGCAAACCTTTACTTTTTTTGTAAATAATGAAACCAGTATATTTTATAACAGAGGAAATTCGGATTGAATTTTTAAAAGTTTTTTGGAAACATGGCAATAATTTCAGCAATTATTTCCAAAATAATACATCATATCACATTTTAGAGAAAATGTATTATCTAAACGCCTGTCCTGTCTCTTAAATTATTAGCCTATATGATATTGGGAATTACTTCTGTTGAAATAATCTGAGAATGTCCCATACTATGTCCTACTACCTGATCATCCTTTGTTTGATTCAAACTGAAATTATCTGACAGTTTAGCTCTACCTCTTCCAACAGAATATGTTTTAGGAAATGCTCCAGAAACAACTTTGGGCGTGCTTATCTTTGGCAGTATGTCATACTTACCACTTGCAATCAACTTTTTGATCATAGCTTCTTCTGAACCTAACTCCTCTCCCCCTTCTGCACCTTCAACCTTATTTTCTTTATCCGACATACTTACTTCCACTTGCAGAAGGCAAAAGCAAAACACAGCAAAAATCACGAACGGTCGTACAGCGCCGCGAGTCTGAGTACTCGACAGAATTCTACTCGGTGTCAATATACATGCAAACATTTACAAACAAATATTTCTCACACACTCACACAAACTGAAAAAAAACAAATAAGTGACGTTTGATATGTTCAACAGAAATTTACAATAAATTCTTTCAAAAAGAAATGAAAAGTAATTGTGTAAAATGGAAACTCTGAGATCTCTTTTTTATCTAATTCAAATATAAATAACCTATGTAAACTAAATGGACTGGACTGTCTACGTCAAATATCTAATAAAATAACCCATGTAAACTAAACGGACAGGACGGTTGGGCAATATAATATGGAGTATAATTCCCTGCTTTTCTCCTGATATAGAACACTATTGAACTTGTTTCTGACTATTACACAAAGATAACCACCAAATTTGATACAACAAACTCAAACTTACCACTCCTGAGATGAACTGAACTTCCTCACATTTCTCTTAAATGGTTGTTAAGATTCTGTTAAATGCAGTGCAATTAGAATGGAACAGAATTTCTAGTAAGAGTCTGTGTTGTTACAAACATGCAGGTAACTGTGAGCTATCTCTTAACCTAATGTGCAAATGTATACCCTAGCAAAATATTCCTAATCCTAGAACAAACACAGAAAATGAAACATAAATCAAATTGTCACATAAATACTGTACATGCTTACAATGACATCACATGAACAATGTAAACAAAAGACATGGAATGGACAATGTAAACAAATGACATGATATGAACAAAACAATGACAAGACACAATGACAACACAGGAAACACAAATAAACATGTAAATAAATAAATAAATAATCAAATAAATGCAAAAATTTAATTACCAGTACCTAGAAATAATGTTATTCCAAGTGAATTGTCAATCCTCGTGTTCACAGGTACACTTCCGGAATATCGGATCTGGATAGTTCGTACGCGATTGAGTTCGGTTTGATTCGAACTAGCTCGAGCTAAAGTCGTGACGTGACGTCATGTAACGAAGAAAGTCGATGATCACTCGGCATAAGTCGGGTGGTCGAGTCAAACAATGGTGGTACGAAGCGCATGCGCAATATACAAGTCCGGGCCCCGAATGAATGAAATGGCGGATCCCAGAATTTAACTGAATCACACAGCTGATAAGGCAGGATCACAAAGATTAAGATACAATTTCACAATACACAAAATCACAAGATGATTTGTAATTTTCAGTTCACTGCAGTGAAGATCAATCTTTTGTGGGGTAGAGATAAAGTATAGATGATAGGGTATTCAGCACTCGATCGTATGTTGATTTACGATGTCAAAATGTAGACTGGCTCGAAAATAATATTATAAGCGTGGGCGCCATTGTAACCCGTCGGTAGAGATCAGAACTGTAGTCTTGGGTTTTTGATATTTTATATGGATAATAAACCAGTCTACGTCACCCTATATGCTATACATTAAATAAGTCGTGCTGCTACCTTGACGGTGTGCATGGGTATGGGCGGACAGGTAGTAAAAACAGGTTTTGTTAGTGAATACAACTCACTCTCTCTCTCATACACCCCTTTCTCTCTATCCTACTAGATCACGTGACACTGACAGCGAATGACAACGAAGACAGACAAACAATGAACAAACCACAAATACCGATAGGTGGATCCAACATCCAACACCTGGCTACATTAATATATCTGGTTAATGGATTTAATTGTTATTAGCAGACTTATTTTTATATTCATATGAAGCAGAATTTATGCAAAATCTTTTGCGTGAAAAGAAAAAAACACTTGCTGTGGCCTTCAACTCGACATTTAGATATATCGACGACGTATTGTCAATTAATAATGATAATTTCCATTCCTACGTCGACACGATATATCCTGGTGAGCTTGAGATAAAAGATACCACAGAGTCCAACACCTCTGCTTCATACTTGGATATTTTACTTGAAAAAGACACAAATGGTAATCTAACAACCAAGCTATATGATAAACGTGATGACTTTAACTTTTCTATCGTCAACTTCCCTTACTTATGCAGCAATATACCTCGCAGTACAGTTAAGGCAACACATGAAAATAATATGGTAATGAAGTCATAATGAGGTCTGACGTCATGACAGTTGCTCCGCCCTGATTGATCCATATAAGGAAATGGTGCTAAAAATAACAATTCACCGATATTTGCAAGAATTTGTAATAAACAGCAATATGTTCATGTTGAAATAAAAAATACTTAGTGATTTTCTCGTATATATAATACCATGTATTTAAAATAATTCTCTTTTTAATGTGTCGTTTGTCTGCATTCGGCTTCAGCCAAGCGCTTGCACTCGGTGACACGGAATGTTGTTTACATCTAAAACCGTGGCGACATCAGCTGAGATTTGCAGTGGATTTAAATGCAATAACCACACAATCTTAAAAGAAAATAGGGATGAAATAAGAGACACAGCATTGCTTCTTCCTTTTACGAGAATATGAGGACATTATTTCGGAAAATAGCAGAAAACTGAGACGATATGCACCAGCTCCGTAGATCGATCACTGCACTGAAATTCCAGGCCAGGTATGTACAGATGTATACGCATATGTAGTTACATGTGTAGATCTACAATATGTAGACATGCTTTTGTTAACATAAAAACCCAAGTGTGCTCATGTTAATTTCACATCATATCAAAGTAATTGAAAAACTGTAATGCAGTGCCTTGTGTGTAACCCCCCCCCCCCTACTATGTTGCACACTTTTTAGAATTATTAAAAATTAATTGCACTAAATATGTACTGAGGTCCTGTCAATAACCTCATTTTCTTTGAAACAATATGTGTAATAATGGAGGTCATCAGTAACACAAATTTAAACTAAATTAAATGATATGTGTTCATTGTTTCAGTCAATGATTCACTAGTGACTAGGTCTATACAAGCTGTAATGATGTCTTTTGACAGACAAATATACACAATAAAAAAAAAATTATCAGTATCATTGTGTTGTAAACATAGAAGCCCCACTTCTGATCTATGGTTGTAATTTTCTAGAATTTCTAAAGTAATGAAAAAAAATATTCATTTTTTTTTTTAGATTACATGTACATTAAAATATTTATATAATATTTTTATCATTGCAGCTGTCAAGGGTATCAGACTTAAAGAATGAATAAATGAAAAATGCATCATTTCTCCACAGGGTATGTATACTTCTAAAGCAATTCACATTTTTAAAGTTTGCATGTACTTTACATTTTTTTTTCACTTTGGAAAAGGAGAAACTCAATTTTTTTTTTAAAGAAAATATTCTATCAATAACAATTGTAAATGTCAAAAGTTTCACTTTCCCAGAGAAGTTTTGTAACACATTTTTTCCCATTTATATGAATTACATAATAATAATAATAATAATAATAATAATAATAATAATAATAATAATAATAATAATAATAATAATAATAATAATAATTATAATAATAATAATAATAATAATGCTTTATTTAAAGAAGGTTACCCGATTAGTACAAGGTACTATTCTTCCCCGGGGCCTTCTAATTTCAAATTTAAATTAACTACAGTATACAATGTAGCATTTTTTTGTAAAATGTAATGCCATTTTATTCTACAATGTATATTTAGTAACTTCATAGCAAATAACTTCATATTATATTGTGTTGTAGGCATAGCTTTTCCCTTGGACTAATGGATTCACCGAGGCGGGAAGTTAATTTAAGGAAAATGGTATGCTCAATAATAGCTATAAATCATACAAAGTTTTGATAATAAAAATAACAGAAGAATTGAAAACATGTATATGCATTCTATGTTAAATGTTCCAATGCATTTTTCAATTTCATTTTTTATAACACAAATTTTTTCAATAATGGTATTTCCTGATTTTCTCATATTTTCAGAATTCATTTTATCCCCAAGAACATGAAGTGATGGAAATAATTTGCACCTGTCCAGCATTCCTAGGCCTACAGTCTATCATTGGATTTGAAAAGAAATGTTTATTTAATAAATTTTCTAGATAAATAAAATAATTTGACTTTTTAATTTATTTACTGTTCATGTGTTGAAAAAGGTCATTAAGATTTGAAAATCTTAACTTGCATACATTTTTGTGTGGAGGGTACTAATGTCCATAAAGATCTTATACAAGTCCAGCATGTGCTTTGTGTTTATTATTTTTTAATAAAATTTAAAAAAAACCCAGAAGACTAGATATCCCCCTAATTGATTAAAAATAAGATAGGGGACCACCGTTTGATTCTGAGGGAAAGGGGGGCGAGTTTTTCCAAATCAGATTTTTTTTATTTTCATGTCAATGAAGGACAGATTAATATTTATTTCCGATTAATGAAATGAAGGACAGATTAATTTTCCCCTTCATTGAAAAGTCTAACATGAAAAAAAATGTTTAAAACTCGGAGATCACTGCACTGATCTGCAAGTATTTATTTCTAAAATCCGCTTCCCCCCCCCCCCTCGAAATTAAATGGCTGTCTCCTTAACAAATACAGGAGTATAATCCAATCCTTTCTAATTAGTTCCTAAAACTTAAAACCTAGTTAATATCGCCTAATTAACATTAAACGGTCTGATTGAAAGCGATAGGGGAACATAGGCAGAAAGAATATATATTAACACAAGTTTGTGTACGATAGGCGTCGGAAGCAAATGAAAGGGGGCTAAATGAAAGGGGGAGGGGGCTTAACCTAAAGAAAAAGGTAAATTCCAATGCTTACATTACGTATATAATTTGCAAATAAGTATGGAGTCTAATCCCTACCCCCCCCCCCCCCCCCCAACCCCAACCCGGTTCCGACGCCTATGCGCACAGTAGTGTGAGAGGGGAATAGATATATAATTAATTATTAATGAAGGCTATATTTTGATTTACCATTTGTGTTCTATATAAAAATATCGGCAACAATTAGACCTGTTTGTATGTAATACTACATGTGCATGTATATATACACATCTTTGAGGAAATGCGGGAGGTTTGAAAGACATTAAATGTATACAATATATGGAGAACGGATACAAAGAAAAGAAAGGTCAACGATTTTTATGCATACCGTTTGATTAAGTAAAAAAAGAGGCCAGCCCTGTCCGCATGTATTTTTATTTAAAATATACGAGGTAAACAAACTATATTAAGTGCTCAAGAGTTATCTCCCATGCTGGGTCAATGATGCGTTTGAAAACTAAAATTAGATTGACTCTTCCAAGATTTCAATTTTTAATCAAAAAGTGCAAGGGCAAGGCGAAAATCTAAAAAGTATGTTTTTATTTTAAATTATTTATTTTATTGTATAGTTTTCAAAAAGTGATGCTCATTTCTTTGTAATCCTTTAGTTAATTTATAATTCACGATAAAATTACGAAAATATCCTATTTTTCATACATTACTGTCTGTTTAAGCTGAATAACTTAATTTTATTGAAAAACTAACTGAATGAGCATTTCTTTTGAGAAAGTATAGATACATAGTGATAACATAAAACATTTTGCAGTTAATTTTTTGTTTGCCTTGCCCTTGCACTTTTGAGTTAAATTTGACATTTTATTTCTTGACCTAAAATCGGAGCCCACGTGACTTCAGGGGGTCACATGATGTCAAAAAATACCGATGTGAAAAGCGATGGACATACTCTTCAAGATAAGAAATAGCTATTTTAACTAGAGTGTCTTTCTCAAAAATAAAACTGTGAAACATTATATGTATCGGATTCCGTGACATTTTATAGAAAATGTTGCCTTAACTGTACTGCGCTTCATCACCTGCATACGGAGTATTTATATCTCAGTTGATTCGATACGCAAGAGCATGCTCTACGTATGAACAATTTCTTAAACGAGGTAAATTATTGACAAGCAAGTTGATGAAACAAGAATATCAACAGTCTCGTTTAAAGTCATCATTTCGTAAATTCTATGGTCGATACAATGACCTTGTCAGCAAATACAATTTATCATTGAATGAAATGCTGACTGACGTTTTTCATACCAATTGTTAGTCCATTATTTATACACTGAATTGACTACGGATTTTTTTCCGTTATTTCCTGATTATGACAATGAGCACACGGCGGGTGTGACCGGTCAGCAGGGGATGCTCACTCCTCCATGGCACCTGATCCCACCTCTGATGTTTCGGAGGTCCGTGTTTGCTCTGCTCTTATTTTGTATATTTGTTTAATGGACGTTGAGATTGAATATTGTTCGTTATTTCCATATCCTTATTGTGTCACATGGATTAATCAACCCAACAAAAGTAATCTTGCTTAACTAAGTTAAAAAAAGCTGACCTTTTGTTACAATTTAGGCCAATTACATTTATTATATTGTGTTCTCCCAAAGTCCTGGATTCAAATAAATGAAAGTTGAGATATTGTTGATATTGCAGTTTTTTTCATTCTGATTTATTTATAAGTTACCTGCATTTACACTTGCACAAAACCATTTAAGTCTCTGTAATATTAAAGACACAGGCCATCAATCCGCTAACTCCGCTCACACACACGAAAAAGATGAAAGATACTCCTTCTTTTGTCCCCAATTCGATAAAATGTAAGAGGCATGTTTAAAAAGACAACTTGACTTACTTTCTTTATTCCTGTTCGCTCCTTGGGCAGCATCTCTTCTCATCACGTCATCGGACTATATGTTTTGGACTATACTTTTTAATTGGGTACAGGTAAAACCTGCCTGCTTTGCTTCCATTTCCTTAAGACAAAACCCTGCTGCAGATTCAATGAAATCTAAAAATGCTTTCTTCAAACCCAGTTTCAAGAATAGTTTATTTTTCAAAATTGCATGCAGAAGGTGAGAGAACTATATTACATTGTATTTTGAAAATTGATAAATAGATAAATTGCTTAAAGAAAATTAAACAGATATTAGTACATGGGGAAATACCTATTTTTCATTTCATTTCTTGTTTGCATTTCTTTTAAATTTGGATAATCTCTTCAGAGTTTCCTGATATGGAGTTTTAAAAATGACGTGGTTATGCATCATCCGTTTTTGAAAATTTAAACATTTTCAGCTTCTTCTCTGAAACCACTTATTCATTTTCAACCAAATTTTGGCAAATAGAATCTATGGATGAAGGAAACAAAAATTATTTATTTTGTGGTCATTGTCTCTGCCCTGGGGTGTGGCCAAAACCACTAGAATTAATGCAATCCTTTAAAAAGTTTTTTACTCCTGGACAAAAAGCAGTCAAACTGTTGGCATGATTATTATTAGCATCGAGTCCTTTACCAAAGTTGTGAAATTAATGGCCCCAGGGTCTGGAGTCAGGTTGGAGCTCTGTTGAATATCCAGTAAAAATGTATTATTTCTTTTTAAAAAAAAACACATCTGCTTCCGAGTATTAAACCAATGAACCATGTAAAGCTTATGTTGAAGGAGGGTGCCTGTTCGAAAATTTGTGAATCGCATGGACCCTAAGTCAGGGATTTTTATGTTAGGGTGGGGCTCTCATGATTGTATAGTGAAATAAATAATTCTTCTCTGCCTGCACCTGGGTATTAAACCAATGAAATGTATACATTGTAATAATGAGAAAGATGCTTCTTTAACATTTGTGAATTTAAAGGCACCTTGATCAGGGGTTCTGGTGATAGGGCGAGCTTTAATGATCTCCTTAGCTCTGGGTATAATGTTTATTGAAATGATCTGAGTACATATTTATGATGAAGAAAGGTGCATCTGGTGCCAGGATCAGCAGTTCTATGCGGTAGCGTGTACAACTGGTTAAAAAGTGTAAATGCATTTTCTTTTTGTTCCTCTTATCTACCTCCAGGTATTAATTAAGTAACTTAAGTGAGCATGATAAGTGTATAGTTACATATGATAGAAAATGGCCCCTCTTCAGAAATTATTAAATTCATGGCCTTTGGTTTTAACACGAAGTAAATTCAATAGTTGGAATGTTTTGCATAATTCCCAGGTTACCATTTAGGCCAATTGGTCTCTTGTATTTTCAGTTAAAGATTGAAAATCAAAAGGCATTACTATGATAATTGTACTACAACCTGTATTATCTCTGCTTACAGTAGGAGAAAAATTTGTAAGTTGTAAGAGCGTGTTTCTGTTCCTTCTGTATTAGACAATAAAATGAATTCAAATCAACTGAAATATATGCTGTTTTTTTTTAAATTTCATTTTATCATTTATCGCTTTGTATGCCAAACTTCTAGGATACTTTCGAATTAGTTTGTTTAATTATATAATTAAATGTATGATTTGTATTTAAAATGACAACTTCCTCGACTGCTGATCATAAATGTACGGTTGATGAAGCTGTAGTTGTTCGAAGCGTATCAATACCAAACATTATGCTCACTTTTATTTCTGCATATTTATGTGCCGTTTTTATTGCTTGCTTCCCCCTCTCTTGTTTTTGTTTTCAGATTTTGTTGTTTAACAAAAAAAGACATTTTCAAGAAAAGCACTCTTTTTTATGGTGTATGTTTGTTTTTAAAATGATATACACATACTGTTTCATAGAATAAATTGAGTTCAATAAATATGCAAGAAAAAACAAGAAAAAATGAATTACACTTTACTGCTAAAAGAAGCACAGTACATTAGGTGGCAGGGGGCAGTTTTTTTATGTTAAACCTGTGCTGAGGGGGCAAATATATACATGCAATCCTTAGAAACATTTATATGGTAACAGTTTTGCAGGGGCTAATTAATTACACTACATATACCCATGACTCACAAATAACATATAATCTCCCTATTAGAGTGCACATGTACCAATTTATATGGGGTCATCCTTCCCTCTGAGATATACACTTTCTTTTAAGGCCTACGGCTTTTCAGCTGAATTTCCTCTGTAACTGACCACGTGTGTTTATTTCAAATTTACAGCTCTGTATATGCTTAATGTCATATTAATACCTTAATGTTGCATAGCATTTTTTTCCGCACACACGCTGCTTTATTCCCTGCAACCTTTAACTTTCTATTTTGCTTTTCAATCAAAATAAGTTTCCATATTTTGAAAGTGCAAACAATTAATTCTGAGTAAAGAT